TTCACCTCAGAAATGTTCCAATGTGATCTGCATGCAGAGTTAAGAAGTAAGTTGTGTTGTTAGGAAAACTGTCTTAAAGTCATGAGTAATATTTCTATTGGATTAAAAGAAATGTATTCACAAGCCTGCTTGTTTACAATGTAATAGGGCCCCAACACCTCTCTGGAGGTTTTGCTGCCTCATTCTGAGTCACAGACTATAGTGCTGCACATACCTGAAAATATAGTCTATTCTATTATATAAATTACATGCTATTGCATATGTTTTACTTTCATTGTGGTTTGAAATGCACTTATAAATTCTGATTCTTTCAGTTCGCCTTTGAATGGTTCCCAAAATGGAACCTAACCTCTACTCCAGGAAACATTTCATGTTTAGTTTGGTGCTGAAAAGCCTGTACAGTTAGCTGTGGTATGGTATGTACAGTTCTTTGGGTTGTGGAGAGATTCGATAATTGTATCATAATCTATCTTCCAGTTTCTGACACTAGGTATTCTTTCTAAGAGGAAAGTTCATTATTATTTATTACATTTTTAGAAAACAATAATGCAGCGCACACAATATGCATCCCCTTGGATCCTTCTTCTAAAGGTAAGTAAAACTGTATCTAAAAACATTACTTTAATAAAACCTAAAACTAGAGTATCATGCATTGTAATACAATATATTCTAGTGGTAAATAATTTCAACTAAGTACGGTTTAAAAAAAATAAGTGCTATGATTAAATTATGAGGTTCCTATCTTAACAATAGTATTTTAATTGTACTTTAAAAACAATTTAAAATGTTCTTGTTTGCAAATGGAGCTAAAATCAGATTAATCATAGAAGAATAATAAGTGCTGTCAATTCTAGTCTTATTTGTAGAAACTTACTTGATCCCATTGGCTATGCCCAGTAACAGGTCGGACACTGGACAAACAATTTCAAAGGAGAACTACAATGCTTCAAGTTCCAAATTCATTATTGTCCCCATACATCCATTTTCTAACTACTTCATCCAATTCAGGGTTGCAAGCAATGCGAGTGCAAAGTGGGATACACCCTGGATGGGACACTTTTGGGACACAAAAGTTACAAAACAAAAAGTAACCAAAAATGTGGGTTCCCATAGCTGTCTTTGCAATCATACAATTAAAAACTGTTTACATTAACTTGTGTCATCAGAATATTTATCTGGAGCTGCCGAGTAAAATTTACAAAAAGGGAAAGGGGGAGGAAGCACGTTATGAGACTTTATTAGTGTTATCTAGAAATCTATTTTATATATCTTTGTTTAAATACACTTAATTTTTTGATACTATTCCCCTATCAGGGAATGGTTGAGTTCCAGTTGTTAGACATTCTTTCTATTTTCCCATCACTAGTTTAACACATGGATCCTTTTCATTCAAAGCCATATTTATCCTTTTGTACCTCAGTTTCATGCACACCAAGCCACCCACACAACCACTTGTCAGTTTTAATGGTCTAATAAACCTAAGATTTATTTCTTGGGAATCACGTGTGCTATGCTGTATGCTTATTAACAAAGAAATAAAAAGAGGCCCCAAGTCCTGTGCCCTATAAAACGGAACTTTGTGTCCTCAAAAGGGACATTAACTTAAACCAATAAAAATGTTTAAATTCTTCCTCAATCTATCCTCCATTTTAATTGTAATATATGCAGATAAGAGGTTGTTAAGAAGTAATGAAAAAAAAATAATACAAATTAGATTTTGTTTGGATATCTCTTTAATGAAACCATTTTAATCACCTAGAGACATAACACCTTCCATGTTTCTACATGAAAGGCAACTTAATATAGGAGAAATGAACAAAAAACACAATGATAAAATACCATAGCAGACTTGATTTTTTCACTGAGAAAGCAATGACAACCATAATTGTTTTGCCATGAAACTATGAAAACACAGCAAAGGCATGGAAAAAACTCCTTTAAAAGTGAGCATTGTATAGAAGACAAAAATTGCTACATAACACCGAGCAAAACTAAAAAAAAAAACAATTATTTTTGCTAATTATATGCACAGAAATGTTAAATGGTAAGAGTGAATAGGACCCCTTATGAAAAAAATAAATGAAAAAGATTGGGGTAATTTCTGCTTGTTGCAGTAAGTACCACTGCTTTATTGTAGGATTTTTTTTGTGTAGTTTAGACAAGAGTATTTATTATGCAACGGAGTAAAATTTTAAAATGAGTGTTTATTATGTAATAGACAAATGTAAACAAAGACCATTAGAATGCAGTGAGCATTTCTGTTAGTGCTAACAGAAGTGAAAAGAGCCTTGATACAAACCAATTAATGAAATACTAAGTGCTTAAAACAGTTATTGGCTGATTTTGAATACAAAATTACTTGTATAATGAGTAGAGACACGCAAGTCAATTATTTTGTTTTGCTTTTTATTTTAGGAAATATAAGCATTTCTTCAAATGCATTTTATTTTTAGACACGATCTGTCTGATTGTGATTAAGTGAATTCATATGTATATTAACCGCATGGTTGCTGTTTGTGTCATGGTATGTAAAGTTTATCATTCTGATTTCCCTATGGTGTGTTGTTTTAATAAGACAAAAACGGTGTTTTCTGATGCGCATTAATAGCAGAAATGTGCATACTGTATTGTAGAATTTTGTATTGTTGCATCATTGCGAGGGACATCATTTATTGATGGCATCTTAGTTTACCGACAAGCCAAAAATGTGCTAATCGGAAAAACCACTAAACCACTAATTAATAAAATTAGATAAATATGTCTTTTCCCACTAAGAGAATGAATGAGATTTGAGAATTTAAAACAAGATGTCAGCTCTTTCAACTTCCTGAGGTTCTAGTGTATTCTATGGAAGGTAGGTTCCATTCACAATGAAACTTTTATTCTGCAAGCAGTATGAAACTTTGCTTAAGCAATCTGAGTGAAAAGAAATGAAACTGAAGAGTGGGGGGTGGGGTAGGGACTGCTTTTGAAATGCCTGATCAACACTGGTTTGAAAAAAGGTTCAGAAAGCAAGTGCATAATTATGAACAAAACTCCAACGCAGAACCCACTCGCTGAAGGACAAGGTAGCAATTGGAGCCACTGTAAAATGATCGCAAACCTCTGTTCCACACTGCGAGGCTTTTTATGAAACAGCTTTTAAGTAAGTCTCACGTTTGTGCCTGCATTTTTAATGTGAAAATATAATTGAAGTCATTGTGAAGCTGTCAACTATATGTATTATAGAGGTTTCAGATTAAAGTACTGGTGATCAAAAACAATCAGAATGAAAAATACAGCTCACGTTGTGGGTGTCTAATGAGGTCTGCTTTAAGTTGAAGAAATCAAAAGAATTACAATTTAATGGACAAGTTTTTCTAGTGAGAAAAATTAGATGTCTATTTTCTATGTCTATTGAGTTGAAACCTTCTGCAGTTCAGTCTGAATATTGTTTTCTACGCCTTTATTTAAAAAAGCTTTTATAAAATATATTACACACACTGAAAATTCAATGTGAAGTTTAAGCATTAAATGTAAAATTTCAATGCTGATATCTGTGCTGTTATTCGCACAACTAAAGGTGATGTGATGAGTAACTTTTCCATGAGCTGCTGGCTTTCTGAGCGCTGACAGGGCCCTGACCAGCTCGTGTTTCCTGTGGCACCTAGCAACACTGTGGTCAAACACACAGCTGTTTTAATCAGTGTTAGTTCAAAGACATGACTGCTGTCACAAAGAATGTGCTTGTTAATTCTCTGACCGTTTAACTCTACGGCCAGACATATGCACAGCCAATTGGAGTACCCATGCTATCCTATGAAAAGCACACTGACGTTTGCTATGATTTTTTGCAGATGCCTATACCTATGTCTTCTGATGTCTCAACATGCTCTTGAAATGAGCTATGGCCATTTTGAGAGTGCTTTCCTAGAATAAGGATTTTTCTCAAATTGTTTTCAATTTTAGGTTTTCTGTTCAAGACATCTCTATGCTGTGAATAATTAGTAAAATAAAAAGAGAGCAAACAAAAAGCAGTTAAGTACAAATCCTACGTTTGTTTTGAGCCCCTATATACAGAACTGTAATTAAAAGGAATCTATACAGTACACAGGCAGTAGATTTGTCATTCTTATTCTACTTTCTCTTGGCTTAATAGGTTATGGTAATATGATAAATTACCAATATTTATTTTTCACCTCATGTGCCCATAGAACATGGTACAGTCGTATTGGAACATTCTCCAATGCTTTACTGAATCTAACATTGCTCAACTATTTTGCTTTTTTTTGCTATTTGCTGCCTAAGCTTCAAATCGGAGATTTTAATTACACAGTAACTGGGGATGAAGAAGACATTTTGTCGGAGTTGAATCAGGATTTCTGTATGCTTTGAAGCCTTTTGACAGGGAAAGGCTGCCTTCCTATTCAGTAAGTGGTGCACCATATTGTAAATCATTTTTTCTGTTTTAATATCTAAATAAATATTTTCCTTTCCTTCTTTGTAGCTTCCGTGTAACTTTGTTTTGCCATTGGTGTTTTAAAAACTTCCATTTGTTTGCTGTTTCAGTGCCATGTTTAGAAAAACTGTTAAAAGTAGAGGAAGGAGTGCAGCCACCTATTCAAAACTGAAATTCAATAGGACCCTGGTTGATCCAAAATATCACACAATAAATTACTGAAATCCCATGACATTTAACAGAAAATATGCTTGTTATAGGCGATTTCAGCTGTAATTAACTTCTTTTTAAAGCTTTATCGATCGCACGATCCTAATTAAGCTGTGTGCTCAGCGTGTCCTTATGGGTTTCCTTGTGTCACCTCTATACTTGAAGAAATATCAAACACTGGATTGAGAGGCTTTTAATGTCATAAATGTCATCAGAAGTGATTAACACAAAAAATGAACTGAAACTGGGGGAAAAAAAACTTTTGTACTGAAAAATAAAAGTTAAAAAGAAAATGTCAGACATCACTTAGACAGATTGTGCTTGCAGCATGTATTCATTTTCCAGCAGGAGTGGGGCACCCACTGAGATAGATTGCATGCTAGAGAAAATGATCCAGAAAGAGATTTAGGTATTAACTGTTCCAGGAGATCACACCTGACCTGTATTAAGACGGGTTCTTTCCTGGTGGTTTTAATATGTTCTAAAACAAACTTTAAGGGATCAGGAAACCAGGAAATGATCTGCTGAGATGAAGCAATAGAAGATTGTCTTTTCATTGCCTAATCCAGTTAGCAAAGTTTTACTTTTTTAACAACAACCACAGACAGGTTGTTAAACAATGCAGATCCCTGCTCTGTAGCTCACAAGAGGCCATAGAATTCTTCTGTACCTGCATGAAATTGAGTTGAAAATGGATGACACCTGAAGCCAGCCAGCAAGTGAACTTGACCTCACCTGTCCAAGCCTAACTAAAATTGTCAGCCAGCTGTACCAAATAAGAGCTAGGCCAATCTCAAAGCTGGATTCCCCTTTTCCATGTCTGATTCTTTATGCCTGTTCTTAAACAGTATTCACTTTCTTGTTTTCTAGGTTGCTGTGACTAATAGCACTGTACCCAATGGCATTTTACAATGCATTACTATTGAGGTATTTGTCATTGATATGAATGACAATGTTTCTGAGTTCAGTGAGGAAAGCATGACTGGTATTGTCCAGACTGGACTGATAGCAGGTGAGTAAGATTTTAATTGAGATAATCATCAACTCTTGTTGAGAGAGGTAGAGAATGGCTTCAATATCATGACTTGTTCTTTTAACTAGATCCTATATAAAATAAGCACAAATCATCATATAGATCTTAACACACATTGGTGGAACTCGACTAATTTAGGTCACCCAAATTTCAGCATTTATCTTTTTATCTGTGAAATCTGTATTCTTTACATTAACCGGTTGTCGAAACAAATACAAGCATTTTTTGAATGCTGGCCTCCTGCAAATAATCTTTTATTAATGTTTATCAAAATTCTTCTGAAACTAAATATGCCATATACAATGCTCCCTAACCTACATTTTCTAAATATATGTAATGTGTCACTTAGAATCCTATTGCCATAAAAATATTGGAATAATATGTAAATGTAAAACATGTAATAAAGTAAAACTTCTTCAGTCTATAATTATTTAAATCAGTCACCCTTTTTACAAATAGGCACTCACTTAGCAGTTTTCTAGTCAGTGGGTATTACCTTTGTCTTGATTGACTTCTGGTGTTTTGTTAATGCCCTATGAATAACATCTCTTGTTTCTTTAGATAAAATTATTTGTTGTCTTAAGGTAAAGTACCTTAAGAACCTTTTGCCTCTTCCAAGATAATACTATTAAACATATAACCATCCTCTCTCAATCTGAGGAATGTTGTCTATCTCCTTATTTGTACATATAAAGAGTGAAATATTAATACATCATTTAATCAGCTAGTAGATTTCACTTATTCCTTTACCATTTCTTGTTGTTTTAACACTGACAAAAACTTTATTTTGTTGTTCATTGTATTACTTTTTTTCAATTTTCTTTCTTGGTCTTTTTGATATCTTGTTTTACTTGTTTGTAATCCAACATATTCCCTTTCTTTAATGTATCCTAAGCTTTTGTATGCTTTTAATCCTTTCATATTTTTTCTTAATTTAGCCTATTTATGAACTAAGTCTCTTTTTTGGCTTATGCTTCAGATGTGACTCATTGGACATATTTGTAAATCAATTAGCAAATGAATGCTAATAACCTGTTTGGCAGTGTATGGAGTAGGAGAAGTCATGTCCACAATCCAAAATAATATTAGTGGTTCTGATTATCTACTAAAGACTGCAAAGGTTCCCTAGAAGCTACATAATGACCTACATGACTGCTTATCTGACTTTAAGGCTTAACATTTCTCAGCGTGTTTTAAATATAACGTTCTAAGCAATAATTCAACAATTCATTTAATTTGCACTACTTAAACATGACGAACATTATACGACCATGCTTTTTTCCTGCCTATTTTTAAACTCTAAAAGTCAAGGATTTTCTTTAGGTAACCAGACATAATAAATTCTATTAAAAACTGTTTTTCATTCAGTAGAAATAGACACATACATAGTCATTCTTTTATGTTCTCAACCTTCATGTAGATGGTGTTCACAGCATTGTATAACCAGATAAATAATGCCATCCGCAGCTTGAAACTCAGATGCATCAGAGATGACAAAAATGTCAAAGAAACTCTTGCGTCAGTGTAAGGAACAGGACTTTAACAGGTCACCACTGAAGAGCCACATGCATAAGATTCGTCAGAAAGGGAACATGGAGACAGCACAAACGTTCACATTCTACTGGGAGAGGGTAGTGCGTAAAAGTTTGCCTTAAATGCAACGTATAAAAAGTTCCTTGAGAAAGAGAGATTGCGTGGAAACCTGACTTAAAAATGAGGCTTTTGCACTTTCTCGATATTGTTTCCGCACAAGACTTTTCTCTCTAGTCCTGCCATTGTTTGGAATTTCAGGAAATGCAACTTCATTTTCATAAGGCCAGATTCATACAGAAATCCAGCAGAAAACCTGTTTTAATCTTATGTCTTGAATATGTGACTGCTCGGTCAGTAGTGGTTGGGGTAAAATTGATAGTTTAATAATAAGTGCATGTGTAGGATGCAATTATTATTCAGAATGCTACAGTATTTAGAAATGCATTTGGTTTATTTATTTGGGATCTACTTACATAAAGGTGCGAACCCTCTTTGCGCTACATCAGCCTTTATCCACGAGCAGCCCCAACACACAGCAGATCAGGTCGAGAATGCATCCAATGTGTAGGGTGCAAATAGAATCACTCAGTGCTGAATTGGTAATTAGCAGGATCAAAATAGCAATTGAAGAGCTGGACTGTTGCAATGGAGGAGAATGGGCTGCAAGTTTAGGAGCCTTAGGGTCTCCCTTCCCAGCATTGGCCAGGCCCAGCCCTGCTTTGTTTCTGAGATCTAATTAGATCAGGTTACAACATGTTAATGCTGCTGGATTAGTGTCAACCTCACTTGCCAATCAAGTCAGGCAAACATCTGCAGTATACTAAACGCTTAGAAGTGTGACTGAAATTCAATTTGCTGGGAACAAGCCGTAAAGCCACTTGCTCATGATGAGATGAACATTTCCATTCAAAGTGCTGATTTTTATGCTAGAGGGAATGGGTCTCCACCAACAAAGAGAGCAATGCACCTGCTATTCAATTGGTGCACAAAATAATGCCAAGAATTGATTGCACAACAAAAAGTATAAGAGTTATAAATGAGGATTGGACATACTGTACAGTGTGACTACTGATGAGAAGCACATTTTTGCCTCACCAAATAATGTTGTGGGCGTCCTGGCAAACAGGAGTAAATGAAATATCTCTAAAAATAAAAAGATATTATTGTTTAGAAAAACAAACTCTATTATAAAATTGATCTTATTGTACAATCCCACATGTGTATGTTACTGTATATGGAAATTCCAAAATTTAGCTTAATTGCTCAGAACAAATCAAATGTTTGAGTGTATAAGTTTGAACAGGGTGGGCCTGGTAGCGCAGTGCTGGGTTCAGTTCCTGGATTACTATCTGTGTGGAGTTTGTATGTTGTCCCAGTGTTCAGATGAGCTTCCTCCATGTGCTCCTGTTTCCCCCCACAGCCCAGAGACATACTGTACAGTAGGTTCATTGGCTTCTGGGAAAATTGAAATGGGTCCTGGTACATTTTAGTCTGTGTGTGCCCTGTGTCCGATTGGCATCCCTGCCTAGGGGGCATCCTGCTTAGCACCTGTTGCTCCCCTGCTGCCCTGTATTGGATAAAGCAGTTAGAAAATGAATAGATATTTAAACAGGTATTAAAATAGAAATGTATGCTGGAGGGTCAGTTATAGACCGATAAAAGCATGAAGAGAAATGACTGTGGGGAATACATTGCACACTGCAATTAACTCAACTAGAACATCTGTCAGTCATGAAGAGCCCTATAAAAGAAAAACGCACCATTCCCGTTTATTTTGCTGGTTTAAAAATCAATAGAAGGAGATGAAATAAGTGGATTGACTGCGGTGAGGAAACAGAAGCAGATACCACAATGACTGCTGCACTACCTTATTCCCACTCTCCGTCACTTCTTGTGACATCACACCGTGAGTCAGAACTGTTCAAATACACTTGGAGGAGATAGGAAATTATAACCAGGTGTTGAGGAGGTCTGCTTTTTTCACCTGCTTCTTTGATTGGGTGCCTCAGAATTCTGCAGTGGGCTGTGGTCAGATGTGCAGATCAATGGCATGCGAGTACATTATGAGACTGAAATTAAATGTGTATGGAAACACAGAATAAGCCCACTTAAAGATTCCAGAAATGTGGCATCACTGAAAAATGGAAGTTGGCCCGCTGTGTGTGGCTGTGTGGCTGTGTGTGGCTGTGTGTGCCCAATGAAGAAACACCATGTTGTGCAGGATGCTTATTGCATTGTACCCTTTGCTTGCTGGGATGGACTCTGGCTCCTCCATGACCATGTATTGGATGAAGCAGTTAGGAAATGGATGGATTCAATTAAGCACCCTGCCTTTTTTTTTCTTTGTTTCATTAGGGGTCCCATTTATGCAAGTGAAAGCTACTGATCTTGATGACCCCACTACTGCAAATGCCGAGCTTCACTATAGCCTGATCGATCAAAGTCGTAGCGCACCGTCCAGTAGCATGTTCAGTATTGATGCCCAGACTGGTAGTGTGTCGCTGACTGCAGAAGGTGAGCTCCAAAACAGAATCCTCATTCACCAACTCCAATAAATTTTGATTAAAGTTCCTAATTTGAATAGAGTTTCTCTGCCCATTCACTCGGAATTCTTCAGAAGCTCCTTAGCGTGACTAATTGCTTTGTGATTGAACACAAGAGTAAATTATTTTAATCTGCATGCGTTTTGAAAGCATCTGATGCTCTGTAGCACACAATGTGCAGATATCTTTTGACATTCAGACATGGCAGTAAAACAAATTTACAATTCCATGAGATAGCTTATTGAAATTAAACATATTTTTCTTCTTCCCTGATTGTGCAAAATTGTGCGTCTACAAGCCCCTGACTAGATCTGTTAAGCAAACTACAAAACTGAAATCTATCTAAAATAAATGAGGCAAACTGCCAAGGAATTGAAATTGTAAGTTTGTATAAATATGTAGACATGATTTACATATCCAATCTTGAACAGCCAATAGTCATTTCTAAGCTAGATTGATGATTCATTTTTTAACATTACCATATTATAATTGCATATTAATCTACAAATGCGCACTGCTCTGTTCACTACCTTACTGTGTTTTAGACAGCATGAGGAAATGATGTCTCTTTAGACTGCATTTGGTCAATACCCCTAGTATGGTATTATGAAATCCTTAAACTTCGCTGGTACAGACTCTATTTCAAGGCTTTTGGACAATTTTCGTTTGGCCGTCAAATCCCAATATCACAGAAAACCAACCAGGACACTGCTGATGCTATTTTAGTGTAACTGCTACCCTTTCAATGCTTGGCAGGAGTTGGAAGACATTAAAGCTGAAAAATTAATTGCTCCCCAGAGGCTGCTTTCCTTAGACCTCATTTAGGAATGAAATCTGTAAATTGCATCCCTAATATAAAATGTGTTTAACAGCCTGCCATGATTACTGTCAATGATTGCCACATTAACTGGGTTATAGACAATGTCCCTGTGCATATTGCTGTCCCTCTTCACAAAGTACAAGGGCTCTTGCTTCAGACAAAGATGAGTAGATTGAACAGTGCTGAAGATCAAAAGTTTAAACAACTACAACTGCAATCATAATGCAAATGGATTAACTTTATGTTGTCTGTATATCTGAGAGCACCAGACACAAAGGAAAAGGAAGCTAAAGTCAACTGCACCATTCAACTGTTTCTTTAAGTTTTCTAACTACGTCTCATTTGTATTCGCACTTGGATCTGAAGTACAGACCTATTTTCTTTGATTAAAGAATTCTGCCTGGCAACTGAAAGTGTTAAAACATTTTAAAATAATGTTTGTCAACTGCAGGAATGTGGAATTGACACTAGATTTAATCAGCTCAATTAGAATCTTTCTGAGAATTGCTTTGATTATAGTGCAATAAATGTAAGCATTGAGCTGTGTTTGCACAGTGAGTGAGAGACTGTCCTTCCTGTGTCTGTTCAAGGGGCATCCAGCTTGGATCCAGAAGTATGCCACCAGTACAACATGACAGCAAATGTGAAGATATTAATGGGAAGCCCACTGCTTATTTTTCAACTGATATTGTGATGATAGATGTCATTACGAACACATGGACCTCGCTGGAGCCTGTTCATCTGCAGGAAAACCTGCCTGCCCCCTAGCCAAAGCAAATCTCCCAGGTAAAAGCTGAATTCTCTCAGGTTTAGTATGTTTAGGAAAAGCATCCTCGTTTTGTATTCACTATTCTCAATATGAATCCCTTAAATGGAAATAAGACAAAAAATCTCCAATTCACTAGTTTACATTTATAAGGCTATTTTTTCCATACAAACCTAATGGGACATTAGCCTCTAGCAATACGCTCTTCTGCTAGAACTACACATACTGTATGAGTAATAAAAGATGCTAAACTAAAGTATGAAAATGTGCAATAGGAAACTTTGTGAATACGGGTTGTGTTGTAAAGGAATTGATTGGATATTGTTAGATGGTCGTTAATGTCAGGTTATCATGTGGGTTTCCCAGTCTGACTCACCGTTTCTTTAGATCTCACAAACAAATGTCTAAATGTGTTTCACATCACAAACTCCTCCTGTGTCTGTCCAGAGACCAGCTCCTTTCTTCCGCTGGCCAGATATACCTTACTTACACCACAGTGTGATCCTGACCTTTAGCATGTTATTTAACATTAATAGCATTATCCACAGCAGAATGATAACATCTGCCTCATAATACATTAGTTCAGGTGGGTATCTGCGTCAGCATGCGTAGTCTGCAAAGGAACAAGTAATAGGTTCATTCCATGCTGAAAAGAGAAGAGAGAAAACACAACGTTTTGGCTGTGAAGCCTTCTTCGGGTGTATAATACAGTATGTTTATAACTCTCATGCATCAATTAGTTGCTACTGAATGGAAATTGTATTCAAAAGCTTTGCACAAAAAGAAATTCAAAACAAGTGGTACATCTTTGTGGCCAACACATGGCTGGATGTTTGCAATGACAGGTAAAAAAATTCATCATCTGAATACACGTAGGTACTGTGACTTGCTTTTGAATGTGAGCTCTTAAGAGACAAGCTGCAATACAGAACACCTATTGCACCCTGTGAAATAAAATGCTGTGTGAAAGGCATCACCTATATTGAAAATAATCTGGCATTAAGAACCTGATTACTGTTTAGAAAATAGTCAATATCAAAGAAGAAAATAAACACACGCCACCCACAACTCCTTTTTTTGCTTTGCTGCCGCTGTCGATTGCTGTTGTTCGTGTGAACGTATCTGATTCATCAGTCCCTCACCCACGCCGCCCTCACACACCTACTCCCCCACGGCTGTTCAAACGTGTGCAGAGTCCTCGCCTCCAGGAGAGAAATCCAGCTCCTTTTTTTCCCCAGCCGTACTTGGCTTCACTGTGGGGTGAGCTCTAGAGAAAATATGTGTTTTGAGCTACCAAGAACACTGTTGGACAAATTTCTTCGCTGTTTGTCCTTGTGCAAGCTCTGATCTTGAATGGATTACTCTAAATTCTAATGCAGTATGCTTACTGTCTAGGCACATGAGATGCCACAAAAGCTAAGCATTTGTGTCATACAGCAAACTGAGTTTTTCTTGTCTTTCAGTGACAAGGTTATTATCTCTACTATGTCATCAGTACAAATTCTGATGTCATCATCCTTATACCTACTGAATCAGCATTAATTCTCACAAGCACTACACTGCTTACATGCAGGGTTTATGAGCTCACCTAAGAGTTAAATTACAAATACACCATTGTAAGGAGACAGATTATACAGTTCTGAATTGAAAGGCTAATTTAATTTCACACTGTAAGAGTACATTAGCATACTGTATCCGCAGTGCACACATAGATGGCATGAAACATCTTTGGGTTTAAACTCGTAGGAAGAGACAGAATCATGTAAACTGAAAAACCTTTGGAACGAGAAGCGTAATTATCGTATTACAATGCTGACCATGTCTGCTGTTCTTTCTTTGTTTGTGCTCTGCACCATCTGCAAAATGAAAAAGAAGAGCTGAACTGGCAGCTGTCAAGAGGGAAGAGAAGCCGAGAGAATGACTCAGCTGCTAGCTAAGTGGCAGCTTTGCAGATGAACTCGCACCAGTTCTGCAGATGGCCTTTTAAACCCTCCATTTCTTTCTTCTTGTGCATGGAGAGCCTACAATCGTGATATTAAAATTAGAAAGAGATGATGCTATGCAGAGATCGTGGTCTCCCGAAGTACAGCTCTTAATAAAGAAACTTTTGGAGCAGAAATGTTTTGCCAATCTGCCTGCAACACCTGATAGCCACACACCTACAGAAGGCTCCACAACCAAAACACTGCGTTTTTCCATTGAGTAGAATTAACCTCTGCTTGGTCTTTAACATTTCTTTTCTTCAGTTTAAAGCAAGCTTCTCGAAAGACTCCCACTGGAAATGCACATAACATAAATGTAGACATCAACCCTTTACATTAAATATCACCGTAACAAAATGGGGCTATGATATGTTTTGTTAATTACATGGTTCAAATCCAGATTTGAGGATAATATCCTCAAAAAATCCCTCTTTTAAAAATAAGTTCTCTTTACTTCCTAGTACCTGTTCTGTCTTGTTTATTGTTTGAGCTGAGGCTCTCTCTTCCTGTTAATGCCAAACTAACTGCAAACTAGTTTATTGATAACAGACTATTATGATTTATTTTAACATTATGGTAAATGTTTTTCCAAGGGGTGGCTTTCATGGTTGTTGGATGTGGCTCTCTTACAGTCCATTTGCATAAATATACTTATATATAAACAGACCATTATAAGCCAACTCAAAGCTTCTATTATCTGGACAGATGGGAGATGATACAGGAAGTTAACAAAAATTCTATGCTAAATTATCTTTTAGTTTAAAGTCTTTGGTGGGTACACAGTTTTCTTGTCGAAGTCAGGTTGGCATACTGAAAGGCCTTACAAAATGGAATTTCCAGAAAGCTTTACCTTATCCTTTACAGACTGTTCATTTTTTTTAGGACAGAGTAAATTCATCATGTTATTATGTAAATTCCTTCAAAGTGTAGAGTTCCCAGAACACCATAACAGTGTCAGTGAAGTAATCCTGCGAAGATGGCCTGTATACACTGTGGGGTAAAGTTTAAAAAACAATCTCCAAAACAGTGCCCTTCTCAATGAGGACTTGATAAGATGCACATGCCCTGTCTGTTATATTCCTGCTGGGATCTTGTCCTTCTTAGGTGCTGTTTCACAGGCTGCAGACTTAACATGGCTCTTCTTTTAACCAAACATACACATTTGGCAGTAATCTTGCCTGCAGTTCAAATCTAGCTTTGCTGACTTAGAGAAACCCCCCTTAAGGTAAATAAGAACATAACAATTATTTAAAAATCCCTTTTAACCTCAACTGTGTGCACAGAGATTAATCATATACTGTACAGGCTCGTTACATCCTTATCATGGTGCAAAAAGCATTTGGATGCTTGTGTGAAAACTCTTATGCAGTAGGCACTTTATTTAAAATGCTGCCTTTGTTTTAATAACAGCTTGTGCAGAGAAGCACATTCCTTAATAGTTGAGTAAAATAAACAGTGCAAGGGTTCCCTTATACATCACAGAAAGGGTTTCCTTAAACATGAAAGCTGCAAAGCCTTGGGTTCTTTTCCATGCTGTGACAATGTTGGCTGCAAACCCCTGTTCAGTATTTGAGCTCTTGTAAAGTCCCTGAAAGGGTGTTCCAGCACAGGACAACAGTATGCTTCATTCTGAGAGACAGGCTGACTCTGGATTGACTCACCAGCCCAACAGATCACAGCATGGGCTTTTACTTTGTTGTTCAGCCATTGAAGTCCAAACACAACTTTGGCCTTCCTCCTTATACCTCAAAAGGGTAAACTGCAAGGTTATTTAGGGGTTTGTATCATGCAATACAAATGAGACCTTTATTTAATCGTCGCAGGCTCAATGGAGTGGCAGCCAGGTTGAGGACACCTTGAAAAGAGATTTTCCCGAGTTGCTCTTCGCCATCAGTAGGGATGGGTAATCTATGTGAAAAGCCCACTGGACAGAAAGGCTCAGGCAGAGGTAAAAGTAGGACTTTGCTGTCTTTGGAGCTCCTTACAGAGTAGAAATGCCACCTCGGTTTTGGGTAACACCTCAGATCAGAAGTTCAACATCATCCAAGTATATTCCATTATCACGAACATTGAGCCCATTACTTCCTTTACTTAGGAAACAAGGGTCTTTATGAATAACATTCAGAACCATGCATATTCACAAATATGTACAGTATATTGCTGACATAAATGGGTTACTGTACTAAGGTATTGAAACAACCTATTCACTTCTGCTATTTTTTCTGCCCCACAAAATCCCTTTTTTACACAGCATATTTTTCACATTTTTCTTTTACTTTCACCAAAATGGATGTGAGGATGACATTTGCAGACTTTTGCTGCCCAGTTCACTTCACTACAGAACTGGTACAGTGTCCCAAGAAGCAGTAGTCTTTCATCTGAACAAACAAATGGTTTCATTTATCCGAGTTTTAAATGACAGAGTTACCTTTGTTGGCCATTGTGTAGTAAACAAGAAAATCAAAACACCCACAAGCTATATATGCATGTAAATCTGAATATTTTTAAAGTTCAGAGACCATCATCAAACAGACGTTGTGTATCTTCAGTCTACCACTCAGATGTCACATTCTTGCAGTCTGCTGTCCACATTCTAACCCTCTTGCTTAGTGATTCTCTTCACACTTATGGCCAGGACATTTTATGATTTTTAGGTGGAAAGTAGGCTTTTTTTTTACTCGTGATAGTTTGAAATGTGGGCGGTGTTATTCTCCTGTGAACAGTGCAGAGATGATTAATGGCTGAGGACAAGTGGATAGAAAAAATACATAAAATCCCTTTGTACTCCATGTGTTTTGTAAATCTGGGTCTACAAATCAATTTAAACGAAGCATTTTAGCGGTACTGTGTGAGGTTAATGGTTGGAACCCCCTTGAGGCAGGGAAGTTAAAGTGAAAAAGATAAAATGAGGTCAGTAATTTTCAGAGAACATGATATCTGCGTTGCTGTGAGGTATCCTTGCTGAAGACCCTTCAACAGGATTATGCAAAGGAAATAAACATTATTATATTAGTTACATTATTCTGGATACTTCCCTGGACAGTTCATTTATAACTGTAATTATATAGAATTACATTCATACCTCTGAATGCAAAATGTAATTGCATAGTAAGCCATTAAACTGGAAATGACAAATCTTGTATTAATTCATCAGTAAATTATTTTGTAAATCATTTAAAAATGACAAAAGAAATTGGAACGCTCTAGTTAGAAATTGATCATGTGCTTCTGCAGTGAGGAATCTCTATGAATGGTAAGGGACACTGATGGATCCTGGAAGTGACTCTGTTGTTTTGCTGTCAGTTCCAGATAGAGGTTTTTGTTGAAAACTCTAATGGCAAAGTAATTGCTAAGCCACTGGAGCTACTGGTCAATAAGCCCACATTTTCTCAGCCTGAGTGCCATGTGGTTACCAAGAAACTCACTACTAAAGGTGAGAGATACTGTATCTACTAACTTGCTCTGTGACGCAACAGCCTTGTGTGTCAAAGACAGAAAAGACTCTTACTGTAAAAGTGCTCGGAAGGCTGCTGCCTGATGGATATGGAGAGTTACACAAGCTTTTGATGGCCACCTACTTTGTATTGTTACTAAAAAAAATCTAATGAAAACAGCAATGGAACTGGGGTGAAAAACTATCTTGTAGCAGGACAAAGATTCAAGGCACAAGGCTTAAGCAACAAACTTAAGGATAAAAATATCAATGTCTTTGAGTGGCCCAATCAAAATCCTGACTTGAATCTGTGGAAAGAAACTGCTGTCTTTGAGCAAACATTGCCCAAAATAGGCACCAAGCTAGTGTGTGACGACACTTACTCTGGAGGAGACTTACTCAAAAAGACTTAAGGCTGTAATGGTGTTTCTACCCGTTATTGAGTTAATGGATCTTATTATTTATCCCTGTTTCCGTTCTATTTTTTTCAGACATTTACATTTGTTATTCTGAGAATGTTTTTTGTTTGAATAAAATATTATTTTTAATGCATCATTTTTCAATTTCACAAAAAAGGATACCATGGGAAGGGTCTGGATGCTTTTTCAAGGCACTATATGTATAAACTATTAGATGCACAATGCCTGTTTTACTCCATTGATCAACCAAATATAAACTGTGACTTCAAAACCAACAATAAAATCCAAAATCCAAGCATAAATGTGAAATCAGGAAAATGTTGCTGCTTCTAATACTAGTGTTTAATGTAAAAAGAAAAAGAAATAGTCTAACATACTGATAAGTTGAATACAGCCTTAAACCTGGTTAAATACATCCAGTGAAGATGACAGAAAATCCATATAGTTTCTGAGGCAGTTGAAAAAGACAGAGAAGGAGATTGACGTACAAAACAGGATTGACATTATTACCCATAATTAAATTGCAAGACAATTGATTTCATACAAAAGTCTGGCATTGTAATGTATTACCAGCAGCAAATATCATAATGAGTCAATCAAAAAGCAATGGGCTGTTACAGATTTTTATATCTTGCTCTGCAGAAATAAGAGGAATGTAATTCACCTATGCTGTAATTCTGATTGACCTAAATCCATCTCATAACTGGCTTAACATTTTGAGAGACGATGTATACCAGACCATTTATGGCATTTACAGTATGCGTTATAAATCTACAAATCTACTCAATCTTCTCATGACCAAAGGAAATAGCATTCCTTACGGTATTTAGGGAAAATAATATAAAATAAGAAACTGTTTCTGAATATTATCCATATCAGACTCAAGGGACTATGGTCCATGACTGCCAACTAAAATTTCTAATTTGGCCCTAGCTCCAGTTCTGCCACAGCTGTCTATTTCTGAAGAATTACCACATATTCTTAAAATACACTTTTACACAAAAGAGCAATAAATACTTTGCAGATCTCAGACTTTATTTATAGACAACACTAATCAATAATTCAGCACCAGTCAAGTGGGGGATGAAACAGTCAGGCAGCACAGGTTTCAAAGCAGGAAGAATGCAAAGGTAATTAAAGACTGAGCAAGTTCGCTTATCTTATTCACACTACTTTACTAATGCATAACAATTGCAATTTTCAAAGTACTGTGAAAAGACTGAAATACTTTATCTTGTTTGGTTGAAAGTCACTTCCAAACAGGAGGTTCCAAAAGGGGCTTTAAAAAGATGGAATCAAACTGGAAGCTGATTTATAGTAAATCATTCTGGGAGAACATAAGGGCTATGTTTTTGCAGGTACAGCACCTCTGGGTGTGCACCCTCCTCAAATACAATCTGAACATTAAACTAGACAGGCATTCTTTCTTGGAGAAGTCCTGGTCAGGGTTTTTAGCTAATCATCATTTAGAGACTGCACATTTCAATATAGCAAATAATTTACAAGTGTGTTCAGATTCAAACGCTATATCAATGTTAGTCTTTTTGGAGTCCTTCTGTTTGAAATTTTAATTAAATTAATCTATCTGGTGCTATTTTAGACTGGATAAAGTCTAATTTTATTAATGGTCTAAAATCCTTTGGGTTAAAAAGCACTATGTTTGTTGCTTCCCAGGGGTAATATGTATCAAGACAGGCTAGTATTATACGTGGTGTCCCTCAGGGGTCTGTTCTGGGTGCTATGTT